AGGGCTGTGACTGACAATTATTTTCACAATCTATTAATCTCACGCTTGTTTTCTGAGAGTTATCAAAATTGTTGCCAGCTCTACTGCTGGTGGTTCATTTCAGGACAAATAACAATCCACTGGGCATGTCACATTTTCAGGATGTGCTCACACCAATCTCAAAATAAAGTAAAAAACCAAGCAGGAACAATACCAACATAAAACACTGTTGCTATCATTGTCTCACTGCTGAAATTGAATTTACTGAAGTCACCAATGAAATGGGTGATCCTTCCTCTCCTGATTGACTGGAAGTTGATGCATTAAATGGAACAGTCATCAAGATTAGCGCATAGCAGCAAGTGGGCGTACGGGGGGAGGGGGGGAATAAATAGAGAACAAGCCAGTTCTCCAGAGCACACAGACACTGATTTGCTTGAGTGTGTGTCCCCAGAGAAGCTGATAGAGGAAATGTTGCTCTGAGCCAATGGAGTCATAACTGTGGACAGGGAGATATGTAGGATAGTACACTGGTAGTAAAGTGAAATTGGCTGTTTGGTTTTCATTGCAGTAACGCTGTGAGCTTTTATTGAATGTGAATTGACGTTTATGGCCCATGAAGGATCAAGAACAGAGGTTTACATGTTACAAATTTACCCCACAACATATGATGCTCAACAATAAATTACATTTATTAATATTTATATTTTATATTTAACAACCAATAGCACACCATGTCAAGCATTGCAATAAAATACTACATGTGTGCCTTTGTCCACCCTCATTAACTTATACTTACATAATATTAATTACAATATTATTTCGAAAGGTTTGATCGGAAGCCAAACCTTTTCAAAATAAGACTGCCTTGGATTTAGCAGAGTGGACAGTTGACCTGAGAGTACACGATCATGACATGAGTGTTTACCGCCCTCCAGTGGTCAGAGTGAGAAACAACCAGACTGCATTTATATATAAATGGCTGTTGACGTCATCGTTGGCGATATCAATATATACAACTCATTATTGATTATGACGAACAACAACAGTAATACCAGTAATCACTTTAATTGAATGAAGTTGTTTCAGTTCAACAGGTTTCTTGGAGATGTTCATACAAGTGATGCATCCAAAATAATAAGCTCTCTGGACCAGGACTCAGTAACCTTGTAACCTGATTTAAGATTCAAATACTACTAAATAAATGTTGATTTGGTAGAGAAGATGTATGGACAATTTATATTATGGCATTTCTTTTAGGCCAATATTAGAGTACTATATTTGTTTTTACTTTGAAATACTCTAATCTCGCCCTAATTTGCCCACAAACCACTTCAGGCCACCCAGGGGCGGTATTGTACCATTTTAAATCCTCTGGCTCTGTCCTGAATATTTTAGTTTCCCCACAGACACAAACAGGTAGCCGGACTAGAGAGAGGTGGTGCTATTGCGCACAGGGCGCTAAACCTTACGCAAACTACAATATAACTGCATGCATATTCTTCTCTGCCAGTTGTTATGGATAAATGTGGAGGGAGAGGTGAGCGCCGAGGATCTTTTCGACTTTAACACGTCTGCAGTATCTTTAATGATGCTCTGCTGAAGTCTGTGCGCGCTGCGACGGATACATTTTTTGGAGTCGCCAGCAGTGCGCTTCAGCTTGACACAAGACACACGACCTGGAGGACTGATCGCACCGTTTTCTTAAAGTTTGCTGGCTTTTTTTTATTTTTATCTTTTTTGCATGCTTCTTCTTTTTTTTTCTTACAGTGGGACTTTTTCTTGTGCATTTGGAGCTATTTACATTGTGTTTTGGGTTTTCTCTAATATGGAGGAGAGCATGCGTATCGGGCAGATGTGTTTTCGCTCCGTGGAAGTTTAACCCCGCGCCCCCACTACTCCCAAACTCTCATCTCCGTATTTGAATTACTATACTTGAACTGAACACTGCAGGAGGTTTAAAACGACAGTAGGAAATGACCAGCGAGCGGAAACCACGGCTGTGTCTCATGGCTAAAGGGGAGAACGGGTATGGATTTCACTTGCATGGCGAGAAAGGGAAGAGCGGACAATTCATCCGCAAAGTGGAGCCCGGCTCCCCTGCAGAAGCTGCGGGGTTGCGCGCCGGGGACCGTGTGGTTGCAGTCAATGGTGTTAACGTGGAGAAAGAGACACACCACCAGGCAAGTAAATGTGCATATACATGTTTTTGGTTTATTTATTATGGATGTAATATCAACAGGTCACTCTGGTGGGTGCCTGCATCCTGACACAGTGGGACGGTTTCAGTAACAATTAGGCCATCCGGGCATCCACACCAGCCTCCTCCTGCTGTGCGAGGTCTTGCTGTGGGACATTGGAAACTTTTTGGTCCCCTACTTTTTTACCCCTAACATGTTTGCCCACATGAGTCCGATTGTCACTTCTTTTTATTAAAAGCGTCTCTTTGCCATAGTTGCACGTTTCAATCACGATTCATTTCATGTGACTTACCTGCACAGTCCCTTTGTTTTGGAAGACGGTATGCACTGACAAAGGGCTTAAGGCTGAGAAGAGGTTAGGTGACACTGGTGATGTCACATGTTATATCCTATAAATGCCTAAAACTGTCTAGATATAAAGCAGGGACTGAAATCACACCATTGACTAACTTTCTCCACCTCTGTTTGCATGTGGTCTTGTTTCACTCTCTGTGTTGGCTGGCGGTCAGATAGAGACAGCAGGCTCAGATAATCATTTTCCCAAGGTCAGAGGAACATCAGCACAAACAACCTCTGTATGTGTGTGAGTTTCCTCTGTAACCTTGTTGCAGTGGAGATAAAAACAAACCTGTTGATTGTTGTGTTTGAAGCTCTGAGAACAATTCTGTCGCCCTTCTAGTGCTTTTAATTCTGGTTAACACAAATAATGGTGGGGCATCATTTTGCTGCTCAGCTCTCAGCTTGTGTTATCATAAAGATGTTTGCCTACATCTTAATTGTTAGTGACCCCCTATGGAAAACTCTCTTCCCTGCCCATTATGTGTGGAGATGTTTCTACAGAAGTTTTTGTGTGTAAAAGGAAATGTTATGAGAGCATGCTGTGGACTTAATCATAGTTGATTCTGATTATTTTATGCACCCATCATTTCATCACATGTCTTGTTTTGTCCGACAGTAAGAACCAAAGATATGCAGTTTTTTTTAGACATTTTAAGACAAGGAGAAGCAACTAACTTTCACATTTTAGAGGCTGGAACCGTCAAGTGTTTGGCATTTTTGCTTAAAAACTGAATGAAACGATTATTGCCATCTTGCAGTCAAATACAGTCTGATATTTTGGTCATTGTTGGCACTGCACATCCACATGTTGGAGAAAAGTGTGAATGTGTTAAATACTTTGGAAAAATGTTCTAGTGCTGACTGTATGCTCCTAAAGAGACTGGTTAACCAGATAATGTTCTTTTTAATGTGATCGGACTATTCTTTTATAGATATATGTTTTATATCTGTATCTGTTATGGTTCAGTGCGGCCAAGTTGTGGCGTTAATTTGTTGTGTTGTTATGTTCGTCTATTGCCTTTTCAAAGGAAGTGTGTAGTAAATATCAACCACGTGTTATACCGTCATGTCCCATCTCTCAGGTAGTACAGCGGATCAAAGCCGTGGAGAATGAGACCAGGTTGCTGGTGGTGGACCATGAGACGCATGAAAGTCTGCGCAGCCTGCGCCTCACAGCCACAGAGGAGATGGCCGTCTTCAGTGCCAGTCCTCCTTCCTCCTCCTGTCCACCAGGCTCCCCTTCTCCTCCCCCGTCCTCGGTCCCATCCTCCCCCAGCAAGAAGCGGGAGAACGGCTCGGTGTCAAAGCAGCCAGTTACGCTGAGCAGCCAGGTACAGAAGCCCACCAGGAGGTCCCCGTCAAAGGCTGCAAAGAAGGTAAGCTGGCCCTCCACCAACGCACCAAACATGACTTTATTTGCTTTACTTGACTGTGAGGACTGTAAACTCTCACATTCTTACACAAAAATGAGTGAACAGTGTAAGGTCTCAAAAATGGTTCTGTGTAATCCCTTTGTTCGTTCAAAATTTGGAATTAATGGTGTGTGATTTGTAAGGTGGGTCTATAGGGCGTATTGCGACATTCCTCCGAAATGTATGTATGTATAGGAATACTTAAACATTTTGGAAAATATGCTATACATGTTCTTGTCAAGAGTTAGATGACAACATCAACACCACTCTCATGTCCATAGCAAATTAGCTTAGCGTAGCATAAAGACTGGAATCAGGAGCAGCTTGCGTGGCTCTGTCCAAAGGTTAAAAAAAACGTCTCAATAGATAACATGTTGTATCTTGTTGTTTAATCAGTGCAAAAAACGAACAGTGAAAAAGACATTTGGGTTTGTAGAGCGTTATGTGTAGAAATATTTCTTGGCCAGAGGTGGAGTCACTTCCTGTAGTCCCCCCTGTAAAATTAATCTTCTCATCGAAGTCTTAGCAAGAAAAAAAGTCTGTGTATTTCCTGAAATGTCGAACTATCCTCTTAAGATATGAGGTGAACTCAAATCGAACCCAACAATCAGTCAGTCCCTTTTTTATCAATGTAAACAAGATGTTTAAGGCCTCACCAACACTCCTCCTCCTCCTCCTCCTCCTCCTCCTCCTTAGCAGACCAACAAATGACCAGCTTTAGCCTGAAAACACAAGTTTTCTCAGACACTCAAACAAAGCATTCTTAGAGATTTGTCATCTCCCAAAACCCGAGTTAAAAATACTAAACGCATTAGCAAACAGATTGCAGGTAGTGAGTCAACTCTTTGAACAGACTCTCCTCAGCTCTCAGATGCTTTCACCCCAGACTTGTTTTCTGGCTGCTTTTCCAGTTTCAGATTAGATTAGTGGATGTCATGCAAGTTTCCATCCTGTTCTGCAGACCTCCATCATGCACGTATGTGTGTTTATGAAAGGTTTTTGTGTGTGTCCAGAGGGAAGAACATGGCTAGCTGAAAGTGTTCCAGATGTTGTGTTAGAGGTCAAAGAGAGCAAGAGAGGTTAGAGGGTGGGACCCCTCAGAAGTTAGAATTCTGGCAATTGATATCGATAAAGATGACTGGCAGGAAGATTTCCTGCATGCCTTTCTAATAGATATTGCATTTATTGTGAAATGATAATAAGAATGTTTTTTTTTACAGGCCAGTGACATCTCATCTTCCTGTGTTTATTTATATATTCTCTTTGTCAAAGCTGGTTGCATAATGCTCAAATACTCACTTGATACATTTTATTTTATATTTTTTTACTGTTTGATTATTCCATGTTGACATGGAAAACAGGATGCGTTTCCGTCCACTGTGTCTCTCCTGGAACGCAAAGATCTGATCAGCTTTGGTTTCACATGGTCCCTGACAGCGAGACAAGGCAGCTTAACTTCTGCTCTCTGCATTTACAACATGTGTTTTCACTTAGATTTGCCCTGCCAATATGTGAGCGGCACCCAGGCACTATTTCTACAAGAGCAGTGACATGGCCAATCAGTTAAAATCTTACTTTTGTGTGTGTGTTTGTTTGGCTCTGGCTTTTGTGACCTGTGGGGAGAAATCCCAGTGCTTGGTGGGGCCGGATTGGCCCAGCTAAGGCTCAGGAAATGCTTAGAGGTCTCTCGTTTCTCTCTTTCTCTCAGACTTTAATGACTCTAATGAAAGAATGGAAAGAAGGTTTAGCAGGATGAGCCAAAAGGCATTAGCAGTGCAAAAGCAGGAAAATTGGAGGACAATATGAGCTGTTGTGGGAACAATGATTTGACCATAAACTACCTCCTGTTTGAGCTGGAGCACTGAAACCTTCCTCTGTCACTCAGTTGGTACCTTGATAGTCTGCAAAGAGTTGGATGTCTCTGTTTCCTGTCCCATCTCAAAGGAAGCTGTTCCACCAGATATATGCAGACTCAGTACTGACAGTGCACGCTGATACAGCATATTATGTCTGGTGTGTAGTAGTCATTCATCCATGTGGCTGGCACAGAGCTTTGGCAATTAGTGCAGTGCAATTACCACAACAAAAGCAGAGGGGAAAAACAGATTGATCAGCGATTAAACCATTAATCACCCAGTGAATAATCTTGGCTTGGAAGAAGATTCATTGCCCCTCCTAATTCTTTGTCTGGGTGTTTGCCTTTCACAGCTGGAAGAGTTGACTCAGTTTGCAGTGCGATGTTTCATTTTGCTCAATCCGGTCCGTAGGAGAGCAAGACTGCTGAGAGCAGCACATTTCTTCTCATATTTTTATTTTCAAGAAAAGGCAGGAGAAAAAGAATGAGGGAGGGATGGAGAGACAGAGAGTAGACAGCACTTGGACCGAGGGAACCCAAGACTGAGAGCAGCCAATAACAACCTTGAAGATTTGTTGGAAGGAGTTTCAGGAAGTGGGCCCCCCATCAGTGGGGCAGGAGAGTGGGGAAAGCTAAAGTTTGCAGGAGGAGTGGAGTCACACAGTTTTCCTCAGTATCAAAGTGATCCAATAATAGTTGTCTGTACATTGGTAGTGCTAATCGCTAATTTGGCATATTTTTAATGGTGCCAACTTTCCAAAATGTAAACAAAGCCCAGCCCACAGCAAGGTCCATGACAAAGTTATATTTCCTGTTTCTTTACTCAAAGCCCCCAAATGAATAGAATTATAGCTCCAAAACATAGAGCATGATTATCCTCCGAATAAACAAAGCAAATGAATGTCAAACGTTTTCTTTATCCTCTCCTCTCTGTCAAAGCAACAAGACATTTTTTTGGCAGCAACAGATGGCTGAAGCCCTAGAGTACACACAACATAGACTCTACACACACACATTTACAGGCATGTACATGGTCACAGTAGAAACATGGGTAGACATGAACCTTTTCTGCAGCCATAATCACTTCCACATTTGACCAATAAATTTCCCTACTGTGGGTTTTGTGTGTGTTTATGTTCCCCAGGTTACATGACACTGCCTGTATTTTTCCTCTGTTTTATGGCTACGCATCCCCCAGGTTTCTTTTTTGTTTCCCTCTGTATATACGTACATCTTTAGGTCTACATACAATGTGCAGTGTGTGTAGATATATAGCTCGTGCTTTTACCCTCTCCATTCTCCATTACTGCATTTCTAACTCAATATATCAAAAACTATAAACCATGAACCAAAACCAATTTTCTTTATTTCTTCACCAAAGCTCACCAGCCCAACAGGATTACAGTTGAGTCATGTTGGGAAATCCAATGTTCAGGCCTTAATAGGCCATTACTGTTGACTATGACCGACAGTGAATTACACAACCTTACAAAAGGTTCGTAAGCGTAAGGACGTGTGTATAGCCAAAAGCTATTTTGTTGTTGTAGTTGGCCTAAAAAGGGCCGACATTGGAGAGAAATGTTGTTGTCACTGAGCACATCACTTATTTTCTTGCTACTTTTAACTCACGCTTAGTCAGCCTTTTGTACTCTTAAGTCTGCTCACTAAACCCTGAGTTTAATGTTACATCAACTATTGCTCTGGGTGTCATGGTACCAAAATTATTATCCATCAGTTGTCTTTTTATGTTTTATATTTTTCAATATTTATTTTGTATATGTAAATAAATAATTGTATAGTTTATCGTAGTTGTGTGTCTATGGTATATTGATATTCAAAGCCAAGAAGTGGGTTCTATAAAAGAGACCTGGCGAAAAATATTGTCTATCAAGCTATTTAATTTGCTTGTAGGCGCGATGGTAGCCAGCAGACTGCATGGAACGTATTTAACAAAAACAACTGATGCTTGAATGTGGCTGGGCCTGTTCCAAGGAGAAAGGAAGAGACGTTTCAAGGACAAGAACTTTATGAGTCCGGTTTGAGATGTATCGTCTTACCTTAACACACACCTGAGGTGTCAGTGCTCTATCACCGTGCTTGTCTTTCTCCCCTTTGCACATACACACACATACATATGCACTCAAGTGTGTCATGTGGGTGTGTCATTAACACTGAAGCTCAAGATAAAGTGTCAGATGTCACTTTCTCGCCAGAACCTTTTTTTAACTCGCTAACAGACAGCTCATACACATGCACAGGAAATTAATCTGCTAACTATTGATAATCAATTAATTGTTTTTTTAGTTCCAAGTCTTTAAATGTGAGAATTTGCTGTTTTTTCGTGGTCATACATTTTATTATATTGAATATCTTTGGGTTTTAGACTATTGGTCTACAAGTCATATGATTACATCACCTTTAGATACGTCTATTTTCTGATGTTTTATAGACCAAAGGATTAAACCCAATTATAATTGTTAGTTGTAACACTACATGCATACATAAAACTACATTTAGAGTCAGGCACTATAAAAACACAGCTACAAAATGACTATATATTTCAGCCAAGCAAACAATTTTACCCATTGTGTGTGTGCTTGTAATCATTTATGTCTGTGCAGAACGTTTTGGTGCTGCTTTCCCAAAATGTGAGGAAACTAATACAGCAGAAAACTGCACATAAATTGACACAATGCCTGGCAGACAGATGGACAGATAGAGATATACAGTATGAGAAGTCATCATTATATTTATTCTACCGCCTGTTGCCACATTTTGAGGGAGATTCTGTATTCAGTGCTCTCCTCTCCCACCTTTCCCTGGCTTGAATTTTCCCTCTCTGTTGGTGGTGAGGCCAAACATATTGTGGTCTTTTGTTGTTGCTCTTTCCAGTCCCGCTGCACTCCTGGTTGATATAACAGTGGCTTGTCAGGAAGTACACAGAAAGCCGTTGCTGTGGTAACAGGATGAGTGTGCTGGAAAGATACTCAAAATGTATTAAAATAAAGGATTTCTGTGCATGAGAATGGGAAAGAGAGACAAAGAGAAAAGGGAGAAATGTGCATACAGATCTTGGGGCACAAGACTTTGTTTCTCTTTGATATGTCCA